AAAAATTGTTTTTTTTTTTTTTTCCCCCCCCCCCCCCCGATGTATTTACCTCTAAGGGTTCTTATTTAGTCTTAGACCTGAACACAGACACTGAGTGCAAGCTGCTTGCAGGGAAGAGTAAACTGAACTGAGATTACACCTTGATGTCTGCTCCAAGTAAAGACTGGGGTGTAAGGCAGCTGCTGCCTCTGCTTTTACCACCACCTCAGTGATGGCCCCAGCAGTGCTGGGGGAAAGCATTAGGTTGAGCCACGCGATTTTGGGTGTTGTAACAGCAATAAAGCCCATCTAGGGCTCCAGCTCGTTCATACCTGGATTTCGCATGGTGTCCAGTTTAATCAGTATCTGACAAAGGTTTGGTTACCCTAGCTTCAGCACTAATTTAATTTTGAAATTTTGAAACTACTACGCTCATAATATTTATAATAAGATAACACAGCTGAATGGCATGATGAAGTTTTTATCACTCTGCTGGTGGCTGGTGTTTCTCAGAATGTGTTAAATCTATTGTTACTGAGAAACAACTTCCATAGGAAAACTTGTTTTTCTTTTCTGAATAACAGCATGGATACCAAAATTACATAGCAGTAGGTATGCTTTGACAGGCTTAAAAACTACCTCTGTAATATGCTGAGTGTATTCTGCTTGTTTACCTTGAAAAGTTGACTTAGTTCTGTGATAAACAGTTTTTAATTCTTGAGAAATGTTTAGACATGCTTATTTTGACATTCAGAAATAGCTTTCGGCTTGAGTAGTATTTGAGTTCAGGATTGTTTTGGCAGCCTGATTTCCTAAACTTACTCTTCTCATATTTGCTGCACTCTGCACTGCTTCCCTTTTTTCTTGTGGCTGACTTTATTGCTGTGTAAAACAATAGATACCTCAGACTTGGAAACTGAAGAAAGGAGAAGCTAAATGCATCTTTGGCAAACAGGTTTTGTTAAAGCCCAGCACCACTAACGTGTAATCCGCAGCACATAAAGCAGCTACCTATGGGCATAAAAAAATTCATGTGAAACTGACATTTTAACCAACAGTGTCTTTAAAATTTTACTGTAGCAAGGCTAAAAAAGCCATGTTGCTATTAGAAAGCCAGTTGTATTGTTTAACATTATATCAGTCTTCTCTGCAAGTACTGGATTTAAAATACATAGAGTACATAAAGTTCTTCCAGCATTTTGGAACATTTTGAAACTAAAAGATAACAGTTGTCTTGAACTGATGTAATGTTTGTAATTTGGTTACATTTCACTGTCTATACGACTAGAGATACAATAAGTAGTATCTCTGGAGAAATACTGAGGTTTTGAATGAGTCAAACCAATACTGATAAAAATTCTGGATTATTGGATTGTTTTCATTTCTGTATTTCAGGATTCTGTCAATTCAGTTTCTCATTCTAAAGCATCTGACTTAACAAATAAAAGAAAATGCTTTTGAAATAGCAAAGTCTAACCTATCTTTATTTTCACTGTACATCTTTCTTTTTTTCCCCTTCCTTACTACCTGCAGCAGACTGCTGTGCCAGCAATCTCTGTTCTAGATTTGGTATGTTTGTTTCCTTCTCTTCAATATCTCTTTCCCATTTCAATTCCTGATGTTATTAATAACTACCCTATGTGCTTTGGATGATGATTTGGCATCTTCGGGTGTTCAAAAATCATTGTGAATCAGTAAGCAGTAAGTTAACTGTTAAGCATGCCTTTGAATGTTTCCAGATGTGGTGACTCCTTTCCCTGTGTTTCCTTCCTTTTAGACGTTGTGTTCTGCTTGCAGGCTTGATTTGTTTGTTGTAGCAGTGGCCTAATAGCAAACTGTGTATTTGGTGTTTTGTGCAACTGTGTTTATAAAATCTTAACTAACAACTTTGAATGAACAGGCTGCAAGGTAAGATTGCCTCCTTTCCCTTCCCCAGCCCTGCAGGTTTTAGAAGAGCTCTAGCAGCACCATTCCTTTCCAATTTGAAGCGAAATTGTCCTGAGAGCCTAGTAATCCAGCATACGGTTTCACCACATGCTGAAACCTTGTTGTTTACAGGTGTTACAATTTTCTGATTAAGTAAAAATGGATTGTAAATCCAGAAATTACTTCTGAGCTACTATTTCCAAGTAGGTCACATAAACATGCAATTATTAAGTTACCATATAATTTCAGTTTCAACTGGTTAATACTATTCTCTTGTGTCTAAAACATGACAGGCTTTCACGCTGGAGCAGTAACTGCAATCATTCCAGCTGATTCTGTATTTTATTGCTCTCATTGGAAATGAGTACATGGAAAAAGAGTTCTGTAGTCTTCTGAAGAAATACATCCTCTTCAAAGTGTATTTCTACATCATTAGTGTACCAGTTTGAAAGAAAGGTAATACTTGCAAGGCCTGTTAGTATGATTAATCTGTGCTGCTGGAAATAAACTGTAAACATGACTAAATAGAAATTTCTACGTTCGGCACTGCCTTATTTTTAAAAAAATCATCTTTTAAAATGCATACTTCCAATACTTTACAGTAAGTCTATCTAAGGTGTTCAGTTTTGTATCTGTGTGGTACATTAGTGTTGAGCAGTTGACAGCAGGGAAGCAGGTGAAGCATGTCAGCTTTCTGAATTAATGGACGAGCCAGGAGTCATGGATTTTTCAGACTTGGTATCTGTCAATATTTTTGTCTTATTACTACTCCTGTATATTTTTTGCTTAAGCCTTGGTCCCCGGAGCTGCCACTGGATAGATAAAGTACTTTACCAAGCAGGGTGTAAACTTCAGGATCTTTCTGCGACAGGAGGTTGTGAAGGCAGACAGTGTCAGCAGCTTTAAAACCAGATTAGACAAATTCATAGACATCATCACACCTGTAAAAAGCTACTCAAGGGATTACAGAAGGGTGTACCAGCTGACGCCTCCAGTACCGTGCTGAGTGCTGAGAAAATACTCAAGGAAATGGCCAGGCTCATGTGCAGCTCTTCTTGCCTTGGTCAGAGACAGAATACGGCACGAGATGGATACATGGCCTGAATCACTCGAGGATTTATGATGTTCATAAATTTAGCTTTAAAGAAAGCAAGCTAGTCTGAAATAGATGAGGTTGAATGCTATACACAGCAAATACTATTTTTTCCTAATATTCATCATTTTCATACTGTTCACATGACTTTCTGGATGTAGTTGCATCTATTCTGTATCCAGGAAATCACTTTGTAGTTTCTAGACAGGAAAAAAAGTACTTTTTAGAATGCTTTGTTTTTTTCTGTATGTCCAGCATGAGCATTGGTAATAGCTGTCCTGCTAATTAAAAGGCTGGTGAAAGGTGATGAATAGTTAATGCATGAATTGTCAAATTGACTAGTGGTTGGCTTTTTAAATTCCCTGGGCCACTAACAGGTCTGACCCAGCTTTAGTTGCCATAAATAGGTATAAATTCAAAGTTCCAGAAGAACTTCTTTTAAATCATTATAAGCAGTGCTTGAGGAAATTAATTTTGTCTGGAATCTGAGACTTCCTGGGTCCCTGCCAGTCCTGTGAATATTTTGACATTCTGATAAGGAGCCGATGGGCTGATCCATTATGAGTAGCAATAGCTCAAAATAAAGGAGGCCTTTCTTGCCCTCTTCTAGGTAGGCACAGTGCTGCAAGTGTTGTGTTGGCAGTAGGGGCACAGAGTTGTGTGGCTGAGCAAGCTGTGGGCACTTTGCAGTAGCACTGGGACAAAGCAGGGAGAAGAAATAATAATAAAAAATTATAATAATATTATAATGAGATTATGATGATGATAATAATAATAATAATAATTTCTTATTAGAAATGGGCCATGAAGCTTGTGTTCCTTAGCGTTTTGAAGATCAGGGAGTTTGATGTGAGCCGGGTGCTGCTGTATGTACCCCCAAACACAAATGCCTGCAAGCGCTCTGGCATGCCTCACCATCCCACCGCAACCTGCCTTGCTCTGGGAGTGCTCCCAAGCAGAAACGAGTCACTGCTCAGAAAGAAATGAAATGCCACTCTGGAATAGCTGCTTTATGCCCATGTGTGCCTTACATGTAATTTTTGGCTTTTTTACTAGTTGTTATGTTTAGAGTAGCCTCTGACCTGGATAGAGTTGTCTTTGCAATTATTGTGGTTCCGATGTTGACAGCAGTTCCCAGGTGGACACCCTGCCCACTTTTCCCTTCTTTCTTTAGTTAAGCTCACAAGAAAATAAAACATCCCCTTTAGTTAGAAATATTTTCTTGTTTAAGTGCATTTGAATAGGAATATTTGCTACTAAGCAAAAAGGCATCCATGCTGTAACCGAGGGTCAGGAACTGCCACGTTCAGAGTTTTTCTCTGAATGCAATTGGGACAGAGTGAAGGCATTTTCCTGTAATTTTTCACTGTGCTGTTTTTGCCTTTATGTTTTTTTAAGAGGAAATTACTTCTATAAACTCTTTTGAATTATTAGCTGTCGTTACTTTTGACAGCAGTATTATCTCCTTTGCTAAAATAATGTCTTTTTAATAACCAATGTCTTAATCCAAGCAGAGGGAGCTGGTTAACTACTCTATTCCCTGTTCTACTGTATATACTGAGCTTGATCTTTATGTTGTTTTCAGTTAAGAATTACAACAGTTTTATGCCTAAATAAAGGAGAATTTACTCAGAGGTAGCATCCTCTAGTAGCCATTTGACAAATTCCTGCCTAAATGAAATTAATTAATTTTGTTCTTTAGCTTAAGTGCTTTCTACTTTTGTGCACATTATTGTGTGAGTGAATACTCCTGTCCATCAAGGGCTTACGTACTGGTAGGTTTAGAGAATCATGCAAAGTTGGGGTTGTTGGTCAGTTTTCTTACCTGCAGTGTTCATTGTAAGCAAATATAAAATATTATTGTCTGGTGGACAATAGTTGTTCATGGGAGCTGTTTAATCTCAGTAGCCCGAGATTTCTTTGCCTCACTCTGTTTTTTCCAAAACACATCTGTTGCAGATACAGTGGGAGATATTTATTCTCCCAAGACTATTTGCAGACTTGCTGAATGAGCCTGTTACTTTAAATGGATTGACCCTTTGACTAATGAGTCATGATTTTTCGGTGCTTAAATACTAATCCAAAAACAGCTGTGGGCTGTTGGCTCTGAGTATTTAATTTCACTTTACTGTACCTGTGAGACTATGGTTGCTGAAGCTGTCTGGAATGTGAGTCACCTCAGTCTTCTGCTAGGGGTTCAGATATGGCTTCTAAAAATGTCTCCCTTTGTGCTTTTATGTACGTAGTTCTGTGCGCATATATATATATATATATATATATATAT